AGCAAAAGTGGTTGCCAAGTCGGGTCAAATAACTCCGAAACATGTAATAAAAGTTCAGAAAAGTAAACCAGTCGTTTCTGGCCGTACTCGTAGAGTTTATTCATCACCAATAAGTGTTATTAGTTATCAATATCCTGTTGATGCAGTCAGTCTACAAACAAAACAATTTAAAAGACGTAACACTGACAACATTATATGAAAATGGCAAACATCAAGTTGCACAAAAAGTTGATAAAGACGGATGTCAAACTGCCGAGGATATTTATGCGAGTTATGTCTACGAATATGATATAACAAATCAGATAATGAATTCTTTACTCGAAGATCCAAACAGTGAAACAATAAAACGGATCAATACATTTGCCACCGATACGTTTGCTGAAGAATGTTACAGACGAAACCTTATTGAATATGTCATCGATGATGCTCATTTGGTTCGTATTATGGACGTTTCAAAATTATACAGGAATGAACCAACATCAAGATTTTATGTATCCGTCAATTGTAGTAAAAATTTAATAAGTTTGTTCATCAATCGTAAAAGGAAGCGAGTTGAACCTATATAGATTTATTTGTATGTGGGAACAAAAAGAGAAAATATGAATAGTAATATGCTTAAGAACAAGCTTTTTTATGGACCATTAGTCTTCTGTAGCAGATACATGATGTGGATCGCGGTATACGGAACAACTTCTAGTTGCGCAAAAAGTCAGTAAAAAATGGTGTCAAATGCTTAAAGCTAAAAAAAGTTGTTTTTCAAAACGCTGTTCTTTTCATTTGTTTTAGGTCATCCCTCTTGTCTACGCATACACTGGTATTTGTCAGTTACTCACAAAAAGCATTTGGAACGCGCAATAATCTTCTCTATCACTGCGTTTGGTAGAGAAATGTTTGTTCCTCATTTAGTAGACAGCATTTTCCATCTTGATTCAGGTTTGCTCGGAGATCTTTGAAAATCCAGGCCGCGTGTAAAAATCTTTTAGTAGGATTGTATTAATTTTCTCCATGATCTGATAGCCCAAGGTGTCCTCTACAAAATGAGAGTCGAGCGAAACCTTGATTTTTTGCAGCTCCGGTGTTGTATCGGATTTTCTATGAGTCCCACGCCTAGCACCCAGTAACTATTGGTAGCCTTGGAAACGGATGAACTATAGGTAATCGATCATGCTGAGTCTCGTGGCAGTAGTTATTTCTAGAAAAAGTTCTAGAAACCTACCGAAAGGCGAGTTTTACGAAGATTTGATTTTCCAGGCTGTTTTCATCTAATATTAAAAAACTCACTATTCGCTCAATAAATATCAGAACGACTTCATAATTCCAAGATATGGTTAATTTTCTCCGCTAAACGTGATTATAAGATCGAAAAATCGAAAAGTATATTTTTGTTATTGGGTTTTCCAGAAACCCGTTTTGAAAACCTTAGAGTTTTATCAATTTCTTTTGAGATCTTCTACAAATATGATATAGAATAGCTTAAATACTCTACATTCTAAAGTTTTGAAGTCGTTCTAATGTTTACTGAGTGAATAGTGAATTTTTTAATATTAGATAAAAACAGCTTGAAAAATCAAAATCAAATCTTCGTAAAACTCGCTTTTCGGTAGATGTCTAGAAATAACTATTAC